AAGCCCTGAAAATCTCAGTGGTTTAACTCACAGGAGCTATTGCTCACACAGTGACAGTTTAGTGCAAGTGTTCAGTGAGAGGCCTTCCATGTGGTCATTCACAGATCCAGGCTCCATTCCGTTTTGCGGTTCTGCCATTTTTTAGGGCTTCAGAATCTTTTTATTTCACTGGTAGTTGGAAAACAGAGAAGGTAGAAAATGTGTAGGAAATTTCCATAGATCAGGTCTGGCACTGGAGTTGTTCCTGGTTCACAATCCATTGTCAGAAGTCTGTCCCATGGCACTACCTAGAGGCAAGAGGAGCCATGCAGGGAATATGGCGTCTGGGTGAGGCACCCATTCTCTAGCAACAATTATGGACTGGAGCATGAATACTCAGCCTCTGCCACTATTTGGGCAAAATGGTAAAGCCAGTAAGGTCTGTCTTCTCATGCCTCCAGCTTCTTGTTTCTCTTCCCTTTGTCTCCATTTATGATCCTCCCTTCACTTCCTCCCTGGCCCTATTGGTACCCAGTCCTCTGCTCTTCATCAAAAACTGCTCTCAGAAAGGAAGCAATGGTTGCACCGAAGTCTAGTGACAGATGAGGCTCAACCCAAGGCTCTCTTCATTTTAACAGAAGAAAGCCTCTGAGAAGATATGAATTTCTGATGAGAGAATTCAAAGGCATGCGGAGTATTTTTGGGGAACAGGAAGCATGCAGTCCCTAAAATTAAACCACATGTTGGGTCTGGCTGTATCTTTCTACACAGCCCAAAACAACAGGACTCAAGTTAGGAGCAGATTTTTTACTGTCTGATATAATTTGGAAACTTTTCATAAAGAAAGGTTGTTATGGGCTGAATTGTGCTCTCCGGCTCTTATGTTGGAGCCTGAACTCACAGTACCTCAGCACATGAGTGCATTTGGAAATAGAGCCTCTGAATGGATGACTAAGTTAAAATGAGGCCCATAGAGTGGCCCCAATCAAATATGACTGGTGTCTTTCTAAAAAGAGGAAATCTGGATGTACAGGGGAATATCAGTGGCACTTGTGCACAGAGACCATGTGAAGAGGCAGCAAGAAGGTGACCATTTGCAAGCCAAGGAGAGAGGCCTCAGAGGAAACCAAGCCTGCTGATACCTTGACCTTGGACTTCCGGCTTCCAGAACTGTGAGAAAATAAATTCTTGTTGTGTAAGCCATCCAATCTGTGGTATTCTGTTGTGGCACCCCTCGTGAACTAATACACAGGTTCTCCCATTTTGTATTTAGATCAATGCTTTAAAGTATGAAAGGGGGTTATGAGAAGGGATGGGAGAATGGAGTCTTGACTGTAAAATAATCAGAGATTAGTGAAGGAGCTTGCCAATATTGAGTAAGTGGGCACTAACATCTCCTTGAGAAGCCAAGGATGTAATATGTTAGATGTCCTCTCAAATGGTGAATATACATTGTCAACTTTGAGTTGGCCTCTCCAAAAGGTGGTCAAATAAATTTGTACTTGTTTCCATTTGTGTTTTGTGGACTGATTTTTCTTAATTTACATTTGAGAAATGGAAAATTTCTGTAAAATACTTTAACAATTGAAAATAAAAATTCTGATTAAATATTTGTTAAAATATTCTTGCCCTAAATGATACCCAACACTTAGCTATCGATACAGAACTGGATGATTAAGTTTTCAGTTTTCATTTGGTGGCATTGTGGTCAGCACAGTCAATCTGGAGCATTGGACTACCTATTTTTAAAATTTTTTTTGCAAAAAATTGCTTCTGAAAGTCAGCAGTTTGGTGGCATTTTGGTCAGCACAGCCAATGTGGAGTCTTGGACTACCTATCTTTTTTTTTTCTTCCAAAAAATTGCTTCTGAAACTCAGTAATTGCCAACATGCTTTTTTACTACCCAAAGCTAAGTTCAGGACTCCAAAGTGCCTTAGGGCACATCAATACCTGGTGGGCAAAATGTTTTTCCTTTCTTGCAGACACATCAGTGGCTCTGGGCCTTTTCCAGGAAACAGGGTTGGAGAATCAAACCCAATCACAAATCCCTTGTGGGTGGACAGGAGAAAGCAGCAGGCTTCTGGCATCCAGAGATAAGAAACAGAAGCAACATGGTCCTGTCAAGTTGTTTCTACCATGCTGTGTTAGAATTCCTTTCTATTTATCTTAAGAAGCAGTCATGAGCTGCTTAGTTTGAGATTTTCAGAAAGCAAATTGTCTTTGTGGCCAAAAAAAAAAAAAAAAAAAAATTAACCATCTGGCTAACTCAAAGACATCAATATTGAAAAAGGAGCCTGCACAGTGAGAGGGGGCAGGTGGTACAGGAGAATGAGTCCTGAACCAGGACTTGGGCAACAGATGCCTATGTGTCCTGGCTAAGTCCCTGAACCTTACGTTTTCCTCATCTGTTGTAAGTGTGTCTTGGCTGGGCTGAGTGGGACTCTTGGTGAATAGAATGAGGAGACATTGCTATCTCTGTGTACCTATTTGTAACCATTAATTTACAAAGGGCCTAGGGAAAAAAGACTTCTTTGCTGTCCACAGTGATGCCAGAGGTTAAAATATCTGTAGCCATGTCTGATGAACTGATGCATGTGTGTGTGTGTGTGTGTGTCTGTGTCTGAAGTCCTATTTGAGGGAGGGTGATGGAGGTCACTGAGAGAGAACTTCAAAGAAGAGAAAAAGGACTTGGGCAAAGGGAACTTGATTTTAGAATGAGACAAGTGTTGGGATACAATGTGGCAGCAGAATCAATCTTGAACTCATCTAGATCCAGCCATCCTAGGAGAAAAGAGTTTTGTTTGTGAATCTAAAGTGCCATACCAACAAACACATGCTGAGGACCCTTCTTCCCATGGCTGGAAATGAGACAGAAAAAACATTATCCTTCTCATTCTGAAAGGAGGTGTTGATCTTATTGTGCAGGGCCAACTCACAACTCCATGGCACCATTGTGGGACGGAGACCATGGCATTGGCTATGATTACAGATTTAAGCCATGAGTACATGTATGCATCCTGGGGATTACAAAGAAAGAACTTGGAGAAGAAGGGTAATGTGTAAAAGACAAGACTTCTTTCTTGTCAGCAGAAAACAGAAGGCCTTGAGATTATGTAGATTGAAACATTCAGCTTCCATGAGGGAGGATATGGCTGGGGCATGATCTTTGAACTCAATTCTAGCTCTAATCTCCAATATTTTTCAACCTGAGAAAGGATTCAACAAACCTTTCACAAATGTAGTAATAGTGATATATATAGTTTGTTGAGTTTGTTACCATGAATCTTCAAGATCAGTGGCAGTAAACCCAAATTAAGGTGAAGAATCTGGAAAGAAGCAAATTTGCCAAGAATACACGGTGAGCAAGTTGTCTGCAAATACATCTGATTTTAGAGTTTGTACACATTCCATTACACCTCAACATAATGGCAGAAGACATTTTAGAATGGCTTTTTGACCATTTCTGATAGGATGCCCAGAGAAGATGCAGCTGTCATCAGAGAGCTGCCATGTCAGGGCCCTGAGGTTGGAACTGCAGTGATAATGAGGACCAGGACAAGAGACTGCAGCACCTTTACATCCGTGGAGGCTCTGTGGCTGGCTGCCCCATGGCTGGGACATGTAGAAAGTGCCCCAGTGGAGTCATCAAGACTGAGCCCTAAGTGAAATAGTGAGATGGAAGATATTAACAACAACCACAACCACAAAATAGGCTATTTATGCAGCATTGTTACTGGATATTGTCATGCTCAGGACTGAGCTAAAGGCTTTACAAACATCTCTTTTAATCCTCTCACCTCCATGAGTTCACTGCTAGGATCCTTATGTTACAACTGAGGTTCAGGGAGACTATGCAAGTTGTTTGATGACAAAGCGCATGAGCGGCAGGCAGAGCCAGGATTTGAGCCCAGGTGAATGGGACTCAAACCAGTGCATGTAGAACCACTAGCCCACATTACCTCTCTAGATTGACACTCTGTTTAGTGTCCTCTTCACCCCATTCTGAATCTACCTCCATCTCCCCTCTTCCTCTGCATGGGGGCCCTTTATTTCTCCCTCCCGAGGTCACTGGGGTCCAGAGCTCCCCCCAGCTCTTCTCCCCAGTTATTACCCGAGGAATGGCCCTGTTTCAATCATGTATGCTGTAAGGCTGCAGAGGAAAAAGTTGAGTTATTTTTCATATTGTTTAAAAATGTTTCTGCTGTAATCACTCTTTATATTTACTTGTATCAAAATCCGTACCAGGAAAAAAATGGGTGATTTTTCGTTAACCCCAAGAGGATCTGAATTGGTTTTTTGCTGGTTAATTTAATTATAACAAACCCAGTGAAGTCACTGTGTTAAACAGTAAAACAGTTAACAGTGGGTTAAACATTACAAAATCCAATTTCCTATAACAAATAAACAATGATTGGGGATTGCAATTTCCTACCACGGATAAGTAGGTGAATTTTATAGTCTCAAGGTTAAAGGCTGTATAATATTTAACCATTATAGTTAGAGAAAAATCCTACAAGAGACCTCTATGTACAAACTACTGAATTTTATGATGACAAGATACAGAAAAAATGTAAATCTGGCAAAAAAAAAAAAAAAAAAAAAAAAAAGCATTCTACCCTCTTACCTGTCTAATGTTTGTATTCTTAGTGGGTTTAAGTTAACTGACTGGTAAATATTTTCCAATTCTTTTCTTATCTGTATAACAAGGTGTAATTATTAGCTTAGTGCAGAGTATTCTCAAAGCCTCCTGTCAGCAGGTCAGTTTCTTAATCTCTCAAGACTGCTCTGTGAAAAACTTGTGACTTCTGGTTATTAACTGTAATTTTAATTAAAAGTTAATTAAAAAATTTAGGGTTTATAATTTTAATTTCCATAGTATGAATTTAAAAGTCATTTGCATTTGACTTGCCTCTAGTTGACAAATAATATCTTTGACCCTGACAAAGGAATTTTAAGAATTGCTCAAGGAACTCCTTGTTCCGCTGTGTTTTTTTCTGCGGTAGAACAAGGGGTGATTTTACGGTTTCTGAAATTGTGACATTCAGAGGTCCTTTCTGAAGCTGGTCTAGCAGGTTAATGCAATATGGGCATTGTTTTCTCGAAGCTGAGGTTACAGCAAACAGCATTCTCCTATACATGAACAAAGAACGCTGGTTCATATAAGGGAGGGTGCCACACAGGGGTTACCATGAGGTTGCATAAGCCAGAAAATGAGCCAGAGGGGACTGCTGAGTCCCCGGAGAGCTGCCATACAGGCTTGGATTTCTTAATTTTTTATATATTCTTGTATAGTCTGTTAAAACTACATCTATTGAGTATTCAAAGCACTGTGCCAGCATTATAGCTATTAAGGTAAACAAGATAGACTAGTATTCTCAAGTGGCTTACAGCTTCATGGGGAAAACAAATAGATAAATAAATAATTGTGAAAGGGTGTGATAAGTTTCACAACAGGGAAAGATTAGGGTGTTGGGAGAACAGAGCAGGGGGGACCCAGCCTCATCAAGTGGAGGTCGGGAAGTGACCTTTTCTGAGGTCTGAAGGATGAGTAGGGGAAGCCAGTGGAGGGAGGAGTTGAGGAATGAGGTTCCAGATGGTGAATTCTTCTTGTGCGAAGTCCTAGGAGCAAGAGATAATGCGATGCATTGGGAATTGAAAGAAATTTACTGTGGGAGAAGAGGAGGTAGTTGCAGGATGTGAGAAGCAAGTGGGAGAGTAGGCTGGAAAGATAGGTAGGGCTCCACTAGACAGGCTGTGGTGAGGTAAGAGTTTAGCTAAAAGGCACTGAGGAACCACTGAAAGGTTTAAAGACAGAACGTGATGGAGTGAGTCATATTTTAGGACTTTAGTTATTTTTAGGAAAATAACTCATTGTGATTAAAAGAATAGATTGGAAGGGGACACAATTAGGGGCACTGAGACCAGTTAGGAAGCTACTGTAGATTTTCAGTTGACAGATTTTGGGGGTCTGGACTAAGGCAGTGTCATTGGAAATGCAAATAGATTGAAGGGCATTGAGAAGGTAAATAGGCTTGGTGAAAAATTTAATGTGTATATGAGGAAGAAGGAGAACCTAGTGTGGCTGGTGTACGAAAATGCCACAGATTGAGCTATTCAGGAATAGATTTGAGATGGGGAGGATGATGTTCAGTTTTGGAGTTGTTGAATTTTGGTCCATTTTGGGCTTGTTGAATTTAGCAGGATGTGAGTTACTTGGGTCTGGAGCTTGAGAGACTGGTATGAGCTGGTAATATAGATGGTAAATGAAACCTGGGAGAAGGTATAAAGGGAAAAGAGAAGGGAGACTAGGACAGAATACTGAAACATCAGCATTTGAGTGACAGGGAGAAGAGAAATGTCCTATGGTTAGAGAGTAGGAGGAAAACCAGGGAAGCCTAGGCCAAGGAAGAGTGTTTCAAAAAGGGAGAGGTTAATGTATCAAATGCTGAGCACAGGTTAAGTAAGGTAAGGACTGAAGAGTGTCTGTTGGAGCTAGTAGAAGGTAGACCTCGGAATCTGGTAAAGTTTAAGAGCAGTTGTGGGCCAGAAACCAAACTGCACTGGAGTGGAAAGAAGAGGAAATGAAGGCAGAGCGTTTAATCACTCTCCTTCAAAAGGAGAGGGGCTATATTCTGAAGAGGACATGAAGCTAAGGGAACATGCTTTTTTCTTCTGATGGGAAAGAGGCAGTAGAGTGAGTTAAGTTTGAAGATGCAAGAAACAGATGGCATAATCAATAAAATGAGGTGATGGGGAGTGGGATCCAAAAACTGAGGGGAGGAATTAGGCTTAAGTAGGAGGAACTTTAATTTGTTGAGTGCAAAGGGGGCAAATATGAGCACAAATGTAGGCATCTTGCAGATGTGGAGGCAGGAATTTGCCACAGCAACCCACATTGGCTAAGAGATTGCAACCACTCCCATTATTCTAGCCCTCTGTCATTTCCTTTTAGCTGGGACAGCTTAAGACCAATTCAGATAACATTTTAAAAAGAGCTTTGAAAACGGTAGATGATTAGAAATATAGTGGATTGAAATGATTATGTGAAGTGATGTGAAACGGTGGAAAAACTGGCTATGAAATTTACTTGTGTGATTTTGGGAGGACGCCTTTGCCTCACTCAGATTCCTCAGTTTTCATTTATAAAGTAGCCTCTTCCTACCAGCTCTACAGAGTTATTGTTACCTTCCAGTGCAGTGGCTATCAGTGTGGGTTGTACGAGTGTTGTCCATAAAGGGTGATGTGGGATGGGTAGGGCAAGTTTTAGAAGTGGTAACAGTGAGGAAAGGGTGGCATTTGGTGAGCAGAGGGAGATTCAGGAATTCTGGACATCTCACAGTCCACTTGACAGTCTCACACACATTGTTCCCATCTCCACACCAGATGACTCCCCCTGCCCCAAATAGTGTTACTTTAAACAATTAAGCTTTTCATTTTTAGTTAATTGTATATTCACATGAAATAATACTGAGCGGTTCATGCACTTTTTACTCTGTTTCCTCCAATAGTAACATCTTGCAAAACTAGAATATAATATCACATCCAAGATACTGACATCGACACAGTCAAGATACAGTACATTTCCATCACTATAAGGATCCTTTGTGCTGCCTGTTTTTTTCAGTCATACCCACTTCCCTTCCTCCTCTCCTCCCTCCTTAACACTTGGCAACCATTGATCTGTTCTCCATTACTATAATTTTGTCCTTTCAAGAATGTTATATAAAAGGTTAATGTGAGATTGGCTTTTTTTTTTTTTTTTAACTCAGTCCATTTTCTTTGAAATTCATTGAAGTTGTTGTATGTATCAATATTATTGCTGAGCAGTATTCTATGGTATGAATATTTCACAGTTGTTTCTCCATTCACCCATTGTAGGACATCTAGGTTGTTTTCAGTTCGGGGTTATAACAAAGCTGCTATAAACAGTCATATATGGATTCTTGTGTGAACATAGCTCTTCATTTCTCTGGGATAAATGCCCGGTAGTGCAGTTGCTGGGTCACATGGTAGTTGTATGTTTAGTTTTTAGAGAAACCGTTTTCCAGAGTGGCTTGTACTCATTTTACATTCTCACCAACAATGTATGAGTGATCCAGTTTCTTCATAACCTTGAAGGTTTTTTCATAACCTTGATCTAGTTCCTTCTTAACATTGCCAGCATTTGGTATTATCACTATTTATTTATTTATTTATTTATTTATTTATTTATTTATTTTTTGAGATAGAGTCTCACTCTGTCACCCAGGCTGGAGTACAGTGACATGATCTTTGCTCACTGCAACCTCCACCTCCTGGGTTCAAGTGATTCTCATGTCTCAGCTTCCTGAATAGCTGGGACTACAGGCATGCACCACCACATCCAACTAATTTTTGCATCTTTAGTAGAGATGTGGTTTCATTATGTTGCCCAGGCTGGTCTCGAATACCTGACCTCAAGTGATCCACCTGCCTTGGCTTCCCAGCATGAGCCACTGCACCCAGATAGGTGTTGTCACTATTTTTTATTTTAGGCATTCTGATATGTGTATAGAGATATTTCATTGTGGTGTTAATTTTTCATTTCCTTAATGGCTACTGATGTGAAAATATTTTTATTTGCTTATTTGTCATCTGTATATCCTTTTTGATGAAATGTCTATGTAATTTTCTCATTTTCTTATCTGATTATTTTTTAACTGTCACATTTTGAGAGCTCTTTTCGTATTCTAGATAATAGTCATTTGTTGAATACATGGTTTGCAAATATTTTCTCCCATTATGTAGCTTGTCTTTTCATCCCCTCAGCAACAGTCTTTCACAGAGCAAACTTTTAAATTTTGATGAAGTCCAATTTATCATTTTTTCCTTTTATGGATCATGCTTTTGGTGACAAGTCTAAACATTCTTTGCCTATCCCTGGATCCTGAAGATTTTCTCCTAAGTTTTTTTTTTTTCTAAAAGTTTTATAGTTTTATGGTTTATATTTAAGGGTCTTTGTTCGATTTTGAGTCAGTATAAGATGTAAGACTTAGGTCAAGGATCTTTTTTTTGGCCTATAGATGTCCAATTCTTCCAGAACCATTTGCTGAAAAGGCAGTCTTTTCTTTATTGAATTGCTTTTGTTCCTTTGTCAAAAATGAATTGGGTATATTTGTGTGGTTCTATTTTTGCAGTCTTTATTCTGTCCCATTGATCTATGTGTCTCTCCTTCCACCAGTACCACAGAGTCTTGATGATGGTAGCAATATTATAAGTCTTGAAAATAAGTAGACACATTCCTATTACTTTATTTTTATTTTAGCTGTTCTAGTTCTTTTGTCTTTCCATGTATTCATTTTAGAATAATCTTGTCCATATGTATAAAATAATCTTGCTGGATTTTTGATAGTAGTTATGTCAAATCTGTATATCAGCTTGGGGAGAATTAACATCTTTACTATGTTGGATCTTTCAATCCATGAACATGATATGTCATTTATTTAAATAGTTGATTTCTTTAATTGGCATTGAATAGTTTTTGACATAAAAGTTATAGTACATGTTTTACATCTAAGTCTTCAATTTTTTGAGTGATTTTAAGTTATATTGCATTTTTAATTTTTGGTATTCATGTATTCATTGCTACTATATGGAAATATAGTTGCTTTTTATATGTTTGTCTTATATCCTACAACCTTTCTGAACTCACATTAATTCTAGGAGTTGTTTTTTTGCAGATTCTTTGGGGTTTTCTGTATAGACAGTTATGTCTACTGCAAGTAGGAACAGTCAGTCCAATTTTTTTCTTTCTGATATCTATTTCTTTTATTTTCATATGCTGCCATATTGCGTTGGCTAGAGCTTTCAGCACTACGTTGAATAAGAGTGTGAAGGTGGATATTTTTTGCCGCATTCCTCATCTTAGAGAGAAGACATTCAGTCTTTTACTAAAGTATAATATTACTGTAGGTGTTTTGTTCCTTGTCAAGTTGAGGATGTTCTCTCTTATTCCTATTTTTTGAGTTTTTTAAAAAAAATCATAAATGGGTATTGAATTCTCTCCAGTATTTTTCTGTACTGATTTGATATGATCCTGTGATTTTTCTTCTTTAGCCAGTTAATATAGTGGATTACAGTCTTTGATTTTAAAACAGCGAACCAACCTTGCATCCCTAGAATAAGCCCCACTTCATCATGGTGTGTACTTTTATTATATTCTACTTGCTAACATTAAGAATTACTGCTTTTATATTCATGAGGGTTATTGGCCTTTAGTTATCTTTTTTGTACAGTCTTTGTCTGGTTTTGTGTTTTGAGTAATAGTGTCTTCATGAAATGAGTTGGAAACTGTTCTTTTTTCTTCTGTTTTCTAGAAGAGAATGTGTAAATTGGTTTCATTTCTTTTTAAAATAAATGTTTGGGAGAATTCTCCAGTGAAGCCATCAGGGCCTGGAGATTTCATTTCTGCTCTTTATTATTTCTTTCTTTCTGCTTGCTTTGGGCTTGTTTTGCTGTTTTTTTTTTTTTTTTTTTCTAGATTATTGAAGTGAAAGCTTATAGTATTCATCTGTTACTTTTCCTTTCTAATGTATGCATTTAGTGCTGTGCATTTCTGTCTCAGTACTGCCTTGAATGCATTCCACAAATTTTGATATGCTGCATTTTTATTTCATTCAGTTGAATGTATTAAAAATTTCCTTTGAAGAATTCCTCTTTGCCCTGTGATTATTTAAAAGAATGTTATTTAGTTTCCAAGTGCATGGAGATTTTCCTGCTATCTTTCTGTTATTGATTTCCAGTTTGATTCCATTTTAGTTGGAGAACATAGTCTACGTGATTTTAACTCTTTTAAATTCTTTTAAATTTGTTCTATGACCCAGGATAACCTGGTAATCCTGGCATATATTCCATGGGCACTTGAAAATAATGCATATTTTGCTATTGTTGGCTAGAGTGTTCTATAAACACTGACTAGATTCTGTTGGTTGATAGATAGGAGTTTTTATATCCTTGCTGATTTTCTGTCTAGTTGTTCTGTCAGTTGTTGACAGAGGAGTGTTGAAATCTCTAGCTATAATTGTGGATTTGTCTATTTCTCCTTTCAGTTCTATCAATTTTTGCTTTGTATATTTTGCAGCTTTATTGTTTGGTACGGACACATTTAAGATTACTACATTTTATTGGTGGATTGATTCTTTTATCACTGTATGATGTTCCTCTGTTTCTGGTAATTTTATTTGTTCTGAAATTTACTTTATCTGATATCAATATGACCACTTCTACTTTCTTTTGATTGTGTGATCTATCTTTTTCCATTCTTCTATTTTTATTTTATTCTTTTTCACTGTTCAAGGTTTATTGGGGGTTTTAGTTGGTATGACACTTGGATAGTTGGTTGCACTGTTTATATGTAGGTCTTTTTACATTATATGGTGATGTACACTACTGATATACATAGTTCACACAATAAGATCCTTTGTAACAATTATGTACAAGACATGCAATATTGGATTTATACACTGGATGCCAGGATGTGACTGATTGGGAAAAAATGTTGGACTAGGCATTGTTCAGTGAGGGACCCAGGAAGTTATATAACATACGGTAAACCTCCATCTGGCTCAAGGGGCAACTGCAGCATGTGCAGCATTGGCAGTGGTCCCTCAGAGGTAGTAGAACTATTTCAGACTAACCAGTTTAGGACTACTCAGGATTAGTATCATCCAGCATTAGGATATAGCTGTAGGATTTTACAAACCATTTCTATTTCTAACTTTAGGAATTGATGTTTTTCCCAGTCCATCTTAATATTAATGTTGTAATCACAGACCAGAAAAAAGGACAACATGCACAACCTCCAACTAAAATCCTGTTATAGCCTAAACAGTGAAATGGATGACATCAGAAGACTTTAAAATTGCAGCTTTGGCTGGGAGCGGTGGCTCACGCCTGTAATCCCAGCACTTTGGAAGGCTGAGGTGGGTGAATCATCTGAGGTCAGGAGTTCAAGACCAGCCTGGTCAACATGGTGAAACCCCTTCTCTACTAAAAATACAAAAAATTAGCTGGGTGTGGTGGTGGGTACCTGTAATCCCAGCTACTTGGGAGGCTGAGGCAGGAGAATTGCTTGAACCTGGGAGGTGGAGATTGCAGTGAGCCAAGATTGTGCCATTGCACTCCAGCCTGGGCAACAAGAGTGAAACTCCATCTCAAAATAATAATAATAAAAAAATTTAAAAAATACTGCAACTCTTTTTGGATCCCCCAAAGTGTATCTGTACTCTTTTTCAAATGGACCTCTTCCTTAGGAGTCAGAGTCACCTTCACAAGGTCTGAGATTGCATTCTGTACCAAGATGCAAGCAACACTAAGGAAGACATCATCCTTTATTCCATAGAAACCCTTAATAATGGTGGAAATTGGGTGTACCCACCTGAGATTCTTCATTATACTCTCTGCCAAATCTGCCACAGAGAGTCCAATGGCCCAGGATGTGTAGCCTTTCAGTTTGATCACCTTGTAAGGACTCTCAACCGCCTGCTTGTGAACCTCTTTCCACTGTTCCTTATCTGTATCAGTCCCTAAATGTGAGTGCAGAGTCTTCAGGGAGACACCAGCAACATTCACTCCATTCCAAAAAGGCACACTAGGATCTCCATGTTCCCCAAGGACCCGCCCATGACAGCTTAATGGGTGAACTCCCAGCTTTCCCCCATCAGGTAACGGAATTGGGCTGAATCCAGATTGCAACCACTTCCAATAACACGTTTTTTTGGGAAAGTCACTTATCTTCCAAGCCACATAGGTCAAGATATCCACTGGATTTGAAACAATAAGCAACTTGCAGTTCGGGCTGTATTTTACAACATTAGGAATGATGAATTTAAAGATGTTCATGTTATGCTGGTCCAAATTAAGATGGCTTTCTCCCTCTTGCTGACGTGCCCCAGACGTGATAATGACCAGCTTGGAGTTTGCAGTTACATTATGGTCTTTGCCAGAGATAATCTTTGGTGTTCTAAGGAAAAGGCTGCCATGTTGGAGATCTGTCATCTCTCCCTTCAATTTGTCTTCCATGACATCAACAAGAGCAAGTTCATCTGCCAAGTCCTTCATTAAGATACTGATGGCACAGACCATGCCAACAGCACTAACCCCAACAAATGTAATCTTAATGGGGGGGGGTCTGTTGTTGTTTTAGAAGATTATGAATCAGCTGATCCTTGAGAGTTGCAACACTGGACTTGGAACCAAAAGGAATTGGGAATGCATGTCAGGCAAGCACTGGGGGCACGCGGCAATGAGATCCGGACTTGGTGGCAACAGCTCCAGCACCTCCATCCTTTTATTCTTAACCATTTATTTTAAACCATATTATTTGCATTTAATATGATTATTGATACATTAAAGTTTAAGTCTGCCATTATATATTTTGCTGTATTTTCTCTCTAACTTTTATTTCTCAATTTTCTTTTCCCTTTTTTCCTGTTCAAAATGCAGGCTGCTTGAACATTTTGTAAAATTTCACTTTGATTTTCCAATAGTGTTTTGAGTCTATTAGTCTATAATGTTTTGAGTCTTAGTAGTTGCTTTATGTATTACCTCATACCCACTCACCCCAACACACACATGCATCTTATTACACACACAAATGTCTGTTAGTGTCATCATTTTACAAGTTTCACATGAAGTGTAGGAGGCTTACCTCTTTTTATGTCCCTTTCCCTTCCCTATTTATAACAAAATTGTCTTAAATATTTTCTCTACATACATTCAAGACCATATTAAACATTATTACAATTTTTGCTCCAACTGTCAACATAATTCAGAAGGCTCAAGAGGATAAGGAAGATCTATTGTATCTACCTATATTTTTGCTTACTGGGTTCTTTACCTTTTTCTTCTTTCTTTCTTCCTTTTTCTTCTCTTCCTCTCCCTCTCCCTCTTTCTTCCTTTTTCTTTACTTTTCCTCTTTTCTTTCTTTTCTGTCTCTCTCTCTCTCTCCTTCTCTCCTTCTCTCCCTCCTTCTCTCCTTCTCTCCTTCTCTCCCTCCTTCTCTCCTTCTCTCCTTCTCTCCCTCCTTCTCTCCTTCTCTCCCTCCTTCTCTCCTCTCCCTCCTTTCTCTCTCTCCTTCTCTCTCCTTTCTCTCTCTCTCCTTCCTTCTCTCCTTCTCTCCCTCCTTCTCTCCTTCTCTCCCTCCTTCTCTCCCTCTTGCTCTCTGTCTCTTTTTCTCTCTCTCTCTTTCTCTCTCTCCTTCCTTCCTTCCTTCCCTCCTCCCTCCCTCCCTCTCTCTCTTTCTCTCTTTCTCTCTTTCTTTCAACAGAGTCTTGCTTTGTCACCAGGCTGGAGTGCAGTGGCATGATATCCCCTCACTGCAACCTCCACCTCCCAGGTTCAAGTGATTCCCCTGCCTCGGCCTCCCTAGTAGCTTTCAATTTTTCTAATATTTTAAGAAACTTCTTTAACCACTTCCTTTCTATTTATAAATCTTCATTTATTCATTCTTTTAGCGTAGGTCTGCTGGTGACAAATTATCTTTATTTTCCTTCATTTGAGAATTTTTTGATCTTTCTTCACTTCTAAATGATATTTTTGCTGCATAAAGCATTCTGGGTTGACAGTTATTTTCTTCCAGCACTGGAAAAATGTTGTGCCACTTTCTTGTGGTTTCCATGGTTTCTGATGAGAAATCCACTGTAATTTTAATTTTTTTCTTCTATAGGTAAGTTGTCATTTGTCTCTTGCTGCTTTCAAGACTTTTTTGTCTTTAGTTTTCAGACCTTTGACCAAGATCTGTTTTGGTGTGGGTTTCTCTGACTCTACTCCCATGAGGGGTTTGGGGTACTTCATTATAGTCTAGTGAGAGTGGAAGTCTTGGTTCCCCACTTGGCCTTTGCTGGTATGAACTGAGGTGGGATCATAGTTTTTTGTTTGTTTGTTTGTTTGTTGTTGTTGTTGTTTTTTCTGTGATGTTTGAATGCAGTAAAGTGGCTATATTCTTTTTTTTTTTTTTTTGAGACGGAGTTTAACTCTTGTTGCCCAGGCCGGAGTGCAATGGCATGATCTCGACTCACTGCAGCATCAGTCTCCCAAGCTCAAGTGATTCTCCTGCCTCAGCCTCCTGAGTAGCTGGGATTACAGGCACCCACCACCACACCTGGCTCATTTTTTGTATTTTTTTAGTAGAGATGGGGTTTTACCATGTTGGTCAGGCTGGTCTCAAACTCCTGATCTAAAGATTTCTGGTTTGCTAGCTTTCTCATTTCCCATTCCTTTAGCTAGAGAGAGCAGGCTTTTGTTGAGACTTTATTTTCTGCACTTACTGGCATTTCCATGTTGCCAGCTACTCCAGCATCCAGTCTGGGATATATGAGGCAGAAGGAAAACCCAGATAGCTTACCACCATGTCATTCTTTAGGTTTCAAGGGCTTTAGTTGGTATCCTGTTCTTCTCTCCACCTTTCAAAGTAGCTTGATGCTTGTTTTATATATAAGGTTCAGGATTTCTTTTTCACTTATCAGGAGGAATATGGAAAAGTACATCTACTCTATCTTCACAGAAGTGGTATTCTCACTTATGGCTTTTAGTGTCTTAGACATTCTTGTAGTGAAAAAACTGTATTGAACAGAACCTAGACTCCAATTCTGCTTTACATCTGTCACAAATTATTTTTAGTAATTTTCTAAAAATGCTGTATAAAACAAAGATTGTACTTTGTTTTGTTCTAAATTTTACTAAAAGTTGGTCACCATTTCAGAAAACAACATTACACAATGTTGTAGTTGTTGACTTCACACACTTGTATCTGACTACATTTGCAAGTGTTGTATTCACAGAAATTCCACATATAAGTATAAGCATCTGACTACATCATGTTTTCAGGTGTGACCATGCCAAGTGCTTAAATATGAAAGATGTATTATTTTATTAGCAATTAATTTCCTTTTATTTTCTATAAAAGTAAAAGGAAAATAAAAGGGCACTATATTGAAATTTTACAATTACTTGTGTAGATTGTATTTTACATCAATTTCACTTCAGGATAGAAAAGGAGGGTGATTCAAAATAGCTATACAAACAGATCATCAGATCTGAAAGGGTTGAGACTACTAATATAATGCAATTAGTTAATATGCTAATCAAATTTGACACACTAAATACAGTGATAGATAATACTATTAAAGATTCAATTATCTAAGTGAACCACTAGATGTCCATTGGACTCCTTTTCAGTGTGAGAGAAACCATGGCATTTCTCGATTATCAAAAAGAGCAGAGAACAGAGATAATAATAGATTTTAGCTTATCTTAGAATCTTTAAAGAAAGGCAGACAGGAGCACTACACAGGCGGTGAATGTCATGCGTTTTGAAAGGTTCAAATGGTACTAACAGAAGATACAGTACATATTTTTTTTTAAAACCATTTGTGTGATGATGGAAATTCACCTATTTTTCTGAGCCTCATTTCTTCATTGTGTACAACAAGGAGGTTGTAGGGCTAAAGAAGATCACTTAAGGGCCCTCCCATCTCAGTAGATAGCAGTCGACAGTCTTCATTCCTGAGCTCATTTGAAAGGATTGGGACAGTGGAAATTTGGTTTCATTTTTCATGAATTGTGAGAGGACTGAGGGCAAATGATACTTTCTTCAGAGTGAGATGACAGGATCAGGTGAGAATGAAGCAGAGAAGAGACAAAGATGTACTGAGAAAGGACATCTTTCTGTAATAGGTTTTTTTTTTTTTTTTGGGGTGTTTTTGTTTTTTTGTGTGTATGTATATGTGGGTTTTTTTTTTCAAGCAACACTTACTTATTCTGTAGATTCTACCTATGGAATATCTTTCAAATCTATTCCCACAGCCACTTTCCCATTTCAGGACCTCCTCATCTCTCATATCATCCTAATTAATTTTTTTGTCTATATCTCTCTCCTATGCACACTGACACCAAAATTATCTAAAATAAAGATCTGATCATGTTATCATGCTTAAAAACAAGAGATGACCCCCTCAGCATGAAACCACACCCTTCCCCATCTGATTCTCGCCTGTTCCCCCAGCCATTGCCCACTTTCCCCGTACTCCCTCTGCTCTGGCCATGCTTGTCACCAGACATGCCATGCACGTTCATTCTCTGGACCTCTACCTGGAACTTCACTTCTCTCTTCAACTGGCAAACTCCTCGCTTCTCCTCAAGCTTTACCTCTTTTTTTTTTTTTTTTTTTTTTTTTTTTTTTTTTTTGTGAAGCCTATCCTTGGTTCACTAGGTAGAATTAAATAATTTCTCTCCACAGCCGTTTGCACATAGTCTGTGCAGGTACTTGCCACACTGTGTTATAAGGTCCATGTCAAAAGGATTGGCATCCCTCATTAGACTTGTGAACCTCTCAAGGGCAGGTATTGAGTTGTATTCATTATTTAATCTTTGGTGCTTGGCACACAGTAAGTACACAGTAAATGTTTGTTGAATGAATGAGTGAATGCATAAAGGGCTCTAACATGGTATTTTGAGTACTATATACATACAGTCCCAAACCTGACTGCACATCAGAATTACCTGGGAAGTCTGTTAAAATCTAGATTCCTAGCTCTTACCTACCATTATTTTGTAGTTTGATAAGCTCTAAGTGATTCTTATGCAGACATCCTGGTGCTAGTTCTTACATGGCCTTTGGAACCATCACCAAATCCATTATAGATGGGGTTCTAAAACTTCCCAACCAGGAATTTCACAGCTCATCCCAGGATGATATCCTCCATCTTATATTCTGAACTTTTTCCAAGAGTCATTCAGGCCATCTTGATATGCGGAAAATTTCAGAATTATTTTGGGGGCTTTAAAAAATGTACAATATACATGTCTGGTCCTCTCCTTGTGGAGTTGCTGACATACCTTAGGGAGGAAAAAGAGAAGATTCAGGTATGGTCATTTATATTTTGAAACTCTGTAGGTGACTTTGGTAGGTCATACCTCGGTGACTCTGCACTTACAGGAAAACCTGTGTTACCTACATTTAATGCGGTGGAGGCCAGAGACTTTGGTTCATGTTTAATTTTGGTTCTGTTATCTCAGAGCCAAGACCAATAAGAAATTCAGCTACCTCTATTTTCTGGTTAACCACCCACTAAATGAGCTGGAAGGCACAACTGCTCCTGTGGAAAGTGGCTATAAAAGGAAGCTGCCTCTGGCTATCTTAATCACACAGATATTAGAGCAGGCTGAGTAAGAGAAGATGTTAGGGGGAGTGTGAGAATG